CACTATCAAAACTGCTTATCTACCTGCAGAAAAACAGGACCCATACCTTACACATATACAAAAATTAACTAAAGATAGATCAAAGACCTAAATGTTAAACTTAAAACTATGAATTTCCTAGAAGAAAACAGAGAGAGAAAACTGTGGGACCTAATTTTTTATAAACATAGGATAACAAACGTAATAACAAATGTGCAAACAGAAGACAAAACAGATAAATGGGACCTCATGAAAATTGAAAACTTATGCTCATCAAAAGATTTTTTAAAAGAGTAAATAGACAACCTCCAGACTGGGAAAAAAATCTTCAGGAATGACTTATCCGATAAGGGTCTAATTTATAAAATCTATAGAAAACTGTAACAACGCAACAACAAAAAGACAGAAATCCCAATCACAGAATAGGCAAAGGACATGAACAGAATCTTCAGCAAAGAAGACATCCAAGCAGTCAACAAACATATGAAGATGCTCCCAATCATTAACCATTAGAGACGCAAATCAAAACTACAATGAGACACCAAATTACACTGGCTAAAATGGCACTGATACAAAATAAAGAGGTAAAAAGAAATGTTGCTGAAGATATGGGATGATCAGAATGTTTATCCACTGCTGGTAGGACCGTAAAATGGTACAACCATTAAGGAAAACAGTACGGCACTTTCTCAAAAAACAAGAAATAGAACTATGCTACAATATAGCAGTTCCACTCTTAGTATATAGCCTGTTGTTATTGTTATGTGACGTCGAGTCGGACCTGACTCATAGCGACCCCTCCTCCTTGGGTTTCCGAGGCAGTATCACTATGGAAGTAGATTGCCCCATCTTCCTTCTGAGGAGTGGCTGGTGGGTTTGAACCACCAGCCTTCTGGTTAGCAGTCAAGTGCTTAGGCACTATGATAGCCTAGGTACCTAAAACTGACATGAGACATATGCACACCTACATTCATTGCTGCTTTATTCACAACAGGAAAGAAATGTAAAAAACTGAACTATCCATCAATGGATGAATGGATAAGCAAATTATGGTAGGTATATATAATGGAATACTAGGCAACTATAAAGAACAATGAGTCCACAAAACATATTAAAACACAGATGGATGGGGAGAGCACAATGCTAAGTGAAATAAATCAGGCCTGTAAAAACAAATATTGTATGATCCCTCTTCAATAAGAAGACAAAAACAGATATAAAAAGAGACCAATATTCATTGGTGCTTATCAGGAAGGGGGGGTATACTTTAGATTGTAAAGATGTATTATGCTTGCTGATGAGAAAAGTAGCACCAAACGTGGATGTACTGAACACAGTATAACCAAAGTTAAAAGGAGTGTTTAAGTACATACAGACGGGTATTGTTGTTGTTGTTGTTGTTATATGCCGTCAAGTCGGCCCGACTCATAGCGACCCCTCCTTGGGTTTCCGAGGAAGTATCACTACGGAAGTAGGATTGCCCAACCTTCCTTCTGAGGAGTGGCTGGTGGGCTTGAACCGCCAGCCTTCTGGTTAGCAGTCAAGTGCCTTAGGCACTATGCTACCAGAGCTCCCACAGATGGTTATAGGCATATTGATATACGAGTAGGTACAGGTGTATACACAGGTGAGAATAGACAAAATGATCTATAAAAAAAACAAACCAAACCCACTGCCATAGAATGCCTCCCAACTCATAGCGACCCCCATTGGGTTTCTGAGGCGCTAAATCTTTATGGAAGTAGATTGCCCAGTCTTGCTTCTGCAGAGTGGTTTGTGGGTTTGAACCAACAACCTTCTGGTTAGCAGTCAGATGCCTTACTCATTGTACTACCAGAGCTCCCTAAAGTATCTATAGCTACATGTAAATACAAATATGTGGGTACAGGCACATATGTTTATTGAAGACATATGGGGCAATCTACTTCCGTAGTGATACTGCCTCGGAAACCCAAGGAGGGGTCGCTATGAGTCGGGTCCGACTCGACAGCACATAACAACAACAACAAATACAGATACTCCTCAGATATAACCAAATACCTTCCAAGACTGATTTTAGTTTCACAGGGCAACTCAATCAGTTGGCATAACATGTTGTTGTATTGTCAGGTGTGTAAATTGGCTCCAACTCACAGCAACCCTATATGTACAACAGAATGAAATACTGCCCAGTCCTGCACCAGCCTCACAATCCTTGCTATACCTGAGCCCATCATTGAACCCACTGTATCAATACATCTCATTGAGGGTCTTCCCCTTTCTCGCTGACCCTCCACTTTACTAAGCATTATATCCTTCTCCAAGGAATGATCCCTTCTGACAACATGACCAAATAGGTGTGATGAAGTCTGGTCATTCTCGCTTCCAAGGAGCATTCTGACAGCACTTCTTCCAGGACAGATTTGTTAAGTCTTCTAGCAGTCCATGGTACCCTCAGTATTCTTTGCCAACACCACAACTCAAAAGCATCAACTCTTCAGTCGCTGTCCAGCTTTCACAAGCATATGAGGCAACTGAAAAATACCATGGCTTGGGTTAGGTGACATCTTTGCTCTTCAGCACTTTAAAGAGTTCTTTTGCAGCAGATTTGCCCAGTGCAGCACGTCATCTGATTTCCTGACTGTTGCTTTCATTGGTGTTGACTATGGAACCAAGTAATATGAAATCTTTGATAACATCAATCTTTTCTCCGTTTATCATGATGCTGCTTATTGGTCCAGTTGTGAGGATTTTTGTTTCTTTATGTTGAGGTGTAATCCATACTGCAGACTGTAGTCTTTAATCTTCATCAGTAAGTGCTTCAAATCATCTTCACTTTCTGCAATCAAGATTGTGTCACCTGCATACTGTAGGTTTTAATGAGTCTTCCTCTAATCCTAATGCCGTGTTTTTCTTCATAGAAAAACAGCTTCCTGGATTATTTGCTTAGCATACAGATTGAGTAATTATGGCAAGAGGATATAACTCTGATGCACACCCATCCTGACTTTAAAACATGCAGTATCCCCTTGTTCTGTTCAAGCAACACCCTCCTGGTCTCTGTTCCTCAAAAGCACAATTAAGTGTTGTGGAATTCCCATTCTTCTCAATGTTGTCCATAATTTATTGTCCACAGAGTCAAATGCCTCAGTGTAGTCAATAAAACACAAGTAAACATCTTTCCAGTTTTCGTTGCTTTCAGCCAAGATCAATCTGACATCAGTAATCATATCTATTGTTCCACGTCCTCTTCTGAACATAGCTTGCATTTCTGGACATCCTCTACCAATATACTGCTGCAACTGTTTCTGAGTTATCTTTAGCAAGATTTTACTTGTGTGTCATATTAATGATACTGCTCAATAATTTCCACATTCTGTTGGATCACCTTTCAATGGGTATTCTGTCAATTCCTGGCACCTTGTGTTTTGCCAATTCCTTCAGTGCAGGTTCAACTTCTTCCTTCAATACAAGTGGTTCTTGATCATATGCCACCTCCTGAAATAGATGAACATCAACCAATTATTTTTGGTACAGTGACTCTGTATATTCCTTCCATCTTCTTTTGATGTTTCCTGCATCATTCAATATATTGCCAATAGAATCTTTCAATATTACATCTTGAGGCTTGAATTTTTTTCTTCAATTCTTTTAGCTTGAGAAATGCTGAGTGTGTTCTTCCCTTTTGGTTTCCTAACTCCAGGTCTTTGCACATTTCATTATAATAACTGACTTTGTCTTCTCGAGCTGCTCTTTGAAATTCTGTGTCACTCCTTTCATCTTGTCATTCCTTCCATTTGCTTTAGCTACTCTCCATTCAAGAGCAAGTTTCAGAGTCTCTTCTGACATTCATTTTGGTCTTTTCTTCCTTTCTTTTTAATGACTTTTTGCTTTCTCCATATATGATGTTCCTGATGTCATCCTATAATTCATCTGGTTTTTGGTTACTGGTGTTCAATACATCAAACCTATTCTTCAGATGGTCTCTAAATTCAGGTGGGATATAATCAAGGCTCTTGTGGACTTGTTTTAATTGTCTTCAGCTTCAACCTGAGCAATTGATGGTCTGTTCCACAGTCAGCTCCCGGCCTTGTTTGGTTATCCATTCCTCCACTGATGGCAGTTAGGTTGTTTACATTTCTTTGCTATTGTGAATAGTGCTGTGATGAACATGGGTGTGCATATATCTACTCAGGTCCAACTCAACGACAACAACAACTATCTATTCGTGTCCTGGCTCTCACTTTTAGGATATACCTAGAAATGGGATTGCTGGATCAAATGGTATTTCTATTTCCAACTAAAATCACATTTTCCACCATACTATAAAGGTTTAAAATGGTTGAGAATTCTATTTATTGAAAATGTTTATTAACTAAGAAATGTGAACAGTTACTAAATACTGTTAGTCATTCAATTCCGAAATCAAAATTTCTCACGATTCCTCTTCAAGTTTTAGATAGGTTTAACTGAAGATAATATTTGCCCATAAGGATCAGAATTTTCTGAATATTATGCAACTAAACAAAATACAGAAATAAATTACATGTTCAGGAAGATGTAATGACATGTTCAGGAAGATATAAGATGTAAGACAAGTAACATTTATAACTCCCAATTTCAAAGTTCTGTGTTAATTAAAATAGGTTCATTGTTCTGATTAATTTCCTAATATCAAGGTTTTAGAGGAAATAAATGTAATCAATTTAAACTTATTCAACTCATTTAATAATAAAATTCTGCTTTTACCAGTTTTATATTTGGTGTGATAAGACCTCATTGACAAAAGTGTTCTATTGCTTTAAAAAAAATTAAAATAACCTGGATGTAAGAATTGGTAAGCATTTTATTCAGACAAAGAAATCTGCAGACCTTTAAGAAAAGAGGATGAACTACTTTTGAGAAGGACACATTCACTGTGGAAATGACTAATTGCTTAGGGCACTGAATAGGACATAAATCACTTAGCTTACTGTTTAACAAATACATACAGTACTTATCACCATAGAATTTTACATAGCTTATTTTACTGTAATACTTACCGGTGCAACTATTTTTCCTGTCTGTCCAACTTGCATGTCATTGGGAACAAAGCCAGCATCAACGGCAGCACGGGAAGCACCAACTAAAGGGAAAAAAATATTTATCAATTTTTTCAAGCTCTACTGATGAGTTAGTTGGGATGTTCACTGATAACTGTTTAAAAAAAAAAAAAAAATCATAAATTCTGATATACTCCAGTTAGCAATTTCATTTATAAAGGTCTTACTTAAAAAAAAAAAAAAATGCCCATGACTGATTAAGAATTCTAAATACTAAGTACTAATGCATTTTCTGGAGAAGGATATTATGCTTGAGAAGGATATTATGCTTTGTAAAGTAGAAGGTCAGCAGAAAAGAAGACCCTCAATGACATGGAATGACACAGTGGCTACAGTAATGGGCTGAAACATAGCAACAATCGTGAGGAGGGTGCAGGACCAGGCAGTGTTTTGTTCTAATGTACACAGAGTTACTATGAGTTGGAACCAACTCAACAGCACCTAACAGCAACAACAATACATTTTATAAACAGAATTTCAAAAAATTCCTACTATTTATACTCAAGGATGTATTTTAAATTTGGCTTAACACCTTTGCTTTCTTTATCAAAAATATATTCAATTTGGGACTTCCAGTAAGATGGAGGAATAGGCATCTTGTCTAAGCTACACAGACCCTCTTCAACAAAGAAAAAAGAAACCAATTGACAGAGATACAGAAGATAATCCTGGAGACCTGAGCTTTGAAAGGAAGTATTCAGAAGTGGATTAGGCACCAACTAGTGGAAAAACCTGAATGAAAATAATGAGTATAGAGCCAGTCGGAGCAGTGGACTATCAGCTACTCTGATGGGACCAACAGCCTGAATATTTCCAAGTGGTGTTGGGACCTGAGAATTGACCTAAAGATCAGCCCTGGTTGCCAGAAGCTGCAGGGATGACTGTGCTGGAGGCCTGACTAGGCAGGGAAACAGCAAGGAAGGAGACAACCTGAACAGTGGCCTTTTGGCTGTTTGGAGGGTGCAGCCGTTTTCATTGTTTACAAGTGACAGCTATTTTGGATATTTAAAGTGACTGAGGGCACAGGCATTTTAAATGTTTAGAAGCAGTGGCTATTTTGAATCTTGTTGGTAATTTTTTGATGACCTGTTCGATTTCTTCTTTTGTTATGGATCTGTTCAACTTTTCCACATCAGTCTGTGTTAGTTTAGGTAAGTGGCGTGTTTCTAGAAATACGTCCACTTCCTCCAGATTTTCAAATTTGTTGAAGTACTTCATGGTATCCTGATATTATCCTTTTTATTCCAGTTGGTTCTGTTGTGATGTCACCTGTTTCATTTGTTATTCCTGTTATTTGTATTCTTTCCCTCTTTCTTTTGTTAAATTTGCCAGGAGTTTGTCACTTTTATTAATCTTTTCAAAAAACCAACTTCTGGTCTTGTTGATTTTTTTCTACTGTCTTTCTATTTTCTGTTTCATTGATTTCTGCTCAAATCCTTTCTTTTGATGACTGTAGGCTTTTCTTTCTGTTCTTTTTCTAATAGTTGGAGATGTTGGTTTAAAGTGTTGATTTTGGCTCTTTCTTCTTTTTGCATGTGTGCATTTATTGCTATAAATTGGCCTCTAATCACTGCTTTTGCTGTGTCCCAAATATTTTGGTATGTTGTGTTTTCATTCTCATTTGATTCAAGGAATTTTTCAATTTCACTTTTATTTCTTTTCTTACCCTGTCTTTCTTAAGGAGGGTGTTGTTCAGTTTCCATGTGTTTACTCTTTTTTCCATTGATCTTCCTATTGTTGATTTCTAATTTGATAGCATTGTGATCTGAGAAGAT